GTTAGTGGTGTTAGTGAAGGGGTATTTTGGTCTTTGCACTTGTTGAGAATGTTGATGTGTACTATTATGTTAGTTCGAGTGCCTCTTACTTAAATAAGGGCACTTAAGTTTTTTCCAATAAGTTAATAATATAATAATAGGTCTGGCCGAATCTAGGGATAACTTTTTCTCTAATTCGAACCAGACCTTCTCTCTTTTCTCTCTTCTTCTTTCCTCTCCTACTTCTACTTCTTTCTGTTCACTTTACTTTACAGTCAACGAATAAGACAGAATTCTAGGGCAGGTCGAACTTCAACAATCCCTAAACAATTTTAAGGAAATTCTTGGCTGTAAAGTTGAAAGCCTTCCTTTCTCCTATCTTGGAATGCCCCTTGGAGGAAACCCGAAGACTCAAAGTTTTTGGGATCCAGTAATAGAAAAATGTGAAAAAAAAAAAACTGGCCACGTGGAAAAGAGAATACTTGTCCAAAGGCGGGAGACTCACCCTAATCAAAGCTTCTTTGGCAAACTTGCCCACATACTATCTCTCGTCCTTTCGAATGCCAATCAAAATTGTCAATCAGCTGGAAAGACTTCAAAGAAATTTTCTATGGAGGGAAGTAGGGAAAAGGGATTTCATCTCGTGAGTTGGTCCCAGGTGTGCAATTCTAAGGAGGAAGGTGGTTTGGGAATAGGTCATTTGAGAGAAAAAAACACAACTCTTCTGAGTAAATGGTTGTGGAGATTTCCTCGGGAACCAGATGCCCTTTGGACTGAGATCATCAGCAGCAAGCACGGGAAACATGCAAACGGTTGGGATTGCAGGTTGCACTTGAACCAGACCAAGGACATAAACCCTTGGAAAGGTATACTCACAACCTACCAAAATTTCATCTCCTTTATCAGATACAAAGTGGGAAATGGGGATAAAATAAAATTCTGGACTGATGTTTGGTGGGGTGACTCTACCTTGGCTGAATCCTTTCCTCGCCTCTATAGCCTTACCCGAAACAAAGAAGCTCCCATCTCCCTTGTCCTATCCTCAACTGGAACCTAGATTTTAGAAGACCTCTGAGAGAAAATAAACTTGAGGAAATATCTAAATTCATTTACACTCTCAGAGAAGTGTACCTTTCCCCAAACACCCTTGACACTCGAGTTTGGACCCTACACCCAGCTAGTAAGTTCTCAACCAAGTCCTTCTTTAGGCCTCTAATCAAGAAAGATCAGTTAACTAAACTTTTCCCGGTAAAGATAGTCTGGTGCACTCACATTCCCTCTAGAGTTTTCTTTTTTGCGTGGGAAGCCAGTCTAAAGAAGATCAACACTTTGGGTCTTCTCTAGAAAAAGAACCAAGGAAGGTCCTATTTATCCCCTCATGTTTGTTGTTTGTGTTTAAAAGCCGGGGAATCAGCCAATCACATTCTGATCCACTGTGAGGAAACCAGAAAATTCTGGAATTTTTCCTCAACCTTTTCAATTTTAGTTGGACATTCCCCGAACATGTGATAGACTGTCTAAGACAATGGACAGCAAGAAGGTTAAGCAAAAGAGGAAGAATTCTATGGATTTCCGTAGCACATGCCATCTTATGGAGCATCTGGGAAGAAAGAAATAACCGAATCTTCAACAATAGAGAAAGAAACTTTGAGGAGCTATTGTCTATCATCTCCCATAGAATTTTCGTTTGGACCTCCAACTTAGAGCACTTTAAAGGGGTTCCACTTTCTGACCTCCAAAGAAATGCTGCAGAATTTCTGTTCTCCAAACAGCAATCCTTAATCCTCCCTACCCCACACTCTTCTGTGACAGAAGGGGAGATAACCTTGCACTTTGATGAAAGCGCGTTTGGAAACCCAGGTGCAGCAGGAAACGGTGGAATTTTCAGAAGAAGAGATGGCACAGTTATTTGGGCTTTCAGTGGACCAATAGGGATAGCCTCTCCAACAAAGGCTGAAATTATGGCAGCACTAACTGGAATCAGGATTGCAAGAGATCTGGGTTTTCACAACATCACCATAAAAGGAGATTCAGCAAATACAATCAGGTGGCTAGCTGACCATGGCAGTGGGCGATGGGCTTTAGATCATTTTTTTGACTGAAGCAAGGGATATCCTTCTCAACCTAAATGCACAGCTGGGTTGGATCCCTAGGGAGCTAAACACTGAAGCGGATGGTCTAGCAAAAGCTGGTGTTCACAGGGATGTCTTGTTCAGTGATAGTTCTCTTCCTACTTAACTCTTGAGTTGTAATTTCTGTGTACATCTTCTTATGTACCCCTTTTCTTCTTCAATAAAGTTACCATCTTTTCGAAAAAAATATATGGTGGTTTGCAAATCTAGAAAGTTGATAAAAAGGTTTGGAGAAAAACACTAAAGATGATGATGTTGGTGACCTTATGGAGTATGAAACCAAGATTAAACCAACAACGGGAACAATGACTTTAAAACAACTTAGTTTCAGTTCATGGGCTTCAGTTCTTCAATTAAAATAAGAATATTGAGATGAAGAGAAAACCAAATAAAATTAAAATGAAATAAACCTACGTCATGAAAGGAACCCATTTCAATAGCAATTGAAATAACAAAAATTGAATGTATAGGCTCACATACACATTACAGTGGCTGGAAATAAATAACAACAAAAGCTGACATTTAGATGTAGCGATTCTTAGCCCCCGTTTGGGAGTGCTTATAGGAATAATAGGATAAGTGCTTATCCTAGTAAGCACTTATGAATGTTAGGTGAAAAGGCGCTTCTTTCAAACAGGGGTAGTATAGGCATTTTGAAAATTACATGGCGGGCCAGAAATGCAATAAGTACTTTTTCAAAAAAGTGCTTGAAAAAAAACCAAAATTTTGAGCATATTCAAAACAGGCTTATTTCCTGAAAAAGCACTTAGTCAGACTTATTGAGTTATTTCCCAAACACAAATAAGTGCTTATTGGTGTGGTCCCAATGTAAAATAAGTGTTTTCCAATAAGTGCTTAAAAATAAGCACTCCCAAATGGGTCCTTACTTGGCCAAGGCAATTTCATTCATTCATCTCCAAAACATTGATGTTTACAACCATTTATATGCTAACATAAATTTACTCCTTAAATTAACTTTTAACTTGAAGAGACTCAAAATCAACAACAACAACAACAAAGCATGAAGGACACATAAAGAATACGACCATAGTTGGACTGGCACAAAACAGAGTTAAATGAGCCACATTTTCAATTGCAAAGTCCATATCAGCCATATGACCTACCTTGCATTGGTGGGTTTCACAATTAATATAAGCCATTCAAAGTTCTAAAATCTTTTAAAATGTTTCTAATAATAAGATTGGTTCAATGTTCTAATGTTTACTGAGTCGTAGATTTAAGTCTAATAAAAGTTATTTTCAAGTTATTTATTTATTAATCTACGTAAGCAGTAAGCACCAGTGTTGTAAGACTCATATAGGACCCAGTGATGCAATCGAATTCGAATTCAATTCAATAATCTTACTGGATATCCGATTAGAATTCGACTCGATTTGGATAAACATGTTGATTAACTTGAATCGTTGAGGAAAGTTTGATTTACCGTTAAAAAAACATTCTGGAGGTTTTGCTTTATTGGCTTAATGGACATGAACAGAGCCTGAAAGTCATAAGGAGAAATACCGAATACACATACCACAAAACATTTTATTAGTAACAAGCAAAAAGCTGGAGATGTTATACCTGATACCTCAAAAGAGGCCGGTGGTGGCGGCGACTGGATATATCAATTCGAACAGGAGTGAAAAAAGGCTGAGGTGGTACTCCGTAGGTACAGTTCAGTTCAGTTCAGTTCGTCTATCCACCAGTTCAGTTCAAACCGGAGAGCTCTGTTAAAAAGAAAAACGAAGGGCGAACCGATAAAATATCAAACCAGAGCGAGCGGCGACACCGGCCAGCGGCAGAGTGTAAGAGATAGATTAGGGTTAATAGGCAACTTTAGTATTAAATTTCTTGCACGAAACTAAGACAGGTATCAGCTTTAAATAGTCAAATATTGACGACAGTTGAAAACGAATAACGCATCATGCAAATTTTGGATGAAAGTCGATAACATTATCGCATATATATAATGGCGAGTTAAGATCTTCTGCAAAAGAATTCGTATTTGTTCCTCACATCACATCACAGTCGTGTATTAGTAATGTAATATCTTCCCGTGATAATAAAATGGGAATACACCGTACAGAATATTTTCAATGGACGTCTGAGGAGCAAATCTAGTCTCGCAACAAAGCGACAAACGGCCATTACAGTTGTACAACGGGAATGAGAAGGGAGATATTCTCATATAATATTCACAATTTGTAGTTGGGACTTTTACCAAAAAAAAATTGTGGTTGGGTTGGGGCATCGTTGAAAGCATTTGATTGGTAGCAGATCTCAACCCTGTATATTGGATTGCGTGATGAATTGGGATCTGATATTCACAGTACAGAGCATTTCTCACACCGACCTTACAGCTGTATCCCACCGTTTATTAGTAATATGTCCCTATCAATAATAAATACAAGTATTAGAAATGATTCATATGTCAGGATATGCCGTTAGGTCGATGGGAAAACTAGGAATCGAAATGGGATGGGTTCGGAGCGGGGATCATATTCCCGTCTCTATCGGGTATAAAATTTGTAAATTTTTTAAAATAATAGTATTTATTTAAATAAATAAATACTTTTTTAAATATATTTTGATATATATAATATAAATAATATAATAATATATTTTTAATATATAATATAAATAATATATATAATCGGGGTCGGGGTCGGGGTCAGGGCGGGGTAGGGACCTCAATCCCCATCCTTGATCCTAACCCTGATTGGGGATTCTTATTAATCCCCATCCTTGTCCCTGTCCTGGCAAAACAATCCCCATCCCCGATTCCATCATATCGGGGAAGTTAGTCTCCGTCGAGGATGGGGAAAATTGCTATCCCTAGTGAAAACCCCTATGTAAAGAGAAAATTCAGACCTATACGTGATGTATGATGTGTGTCTATCTCATGATCTCAGCTTTGATTCCAGTTCTGCTCCGCACACGGACGTTACACATTGGGAACATCTCCCATACTTGTATTTATTATTCATGGGAAAGATAATTTATAATACATAGTGGGATGTGGTTGTTAGGTCCGTGTGAGAAGTGATTTGTGAAGAGTAAATTCCAGTTCTTGAACTCCAATGAATAAGAATAATAAAAATTTTATGTATTTTGAGAAGCAATGGAACATTGGATATTGTCTCAAATTTTGACTCTTGTTAAAGTTTGAAGGCTTTGGGTTTAGAGGAATGTGACAAATGCTATCAGAGCCAATCATGAATCCAGTTTTTGAATCCGGATTTCACAACTACAAGGAAAGATTCTATCATTGGTCGTTGGCCCAGAACAAATGATGGAGCGATTCACGCAAATGTTTGAGTCCTCCAAGGCTCGTTTTGAACAACTAGAAAGGAAGGATGTGTTGTTGGTGGCTAACTCTACATTAGGAGATACTAGTATGGACCAGTGTGGTGCACGATATTTATTTAGCAAATTTTAAGTAAAAACAGTTATTGGACATTTAGACTGGGTGGAGCAATTCTTAGTCCAATTGAAGCCTTAATAAGGGCACTATGGTGATAAGGTACTTAAATTAATTTAGAAATTTATATATGCATTATAATAATTTTACACCAAATGTCAAGAAAGGTTTTGAATATGCTTAATAGTAGTTATCTACAGTATGACTAGCAATTGGATAGAGCACCCTCTCCCCATCCATGCCCCATAACTAAGATACTCTACCCCTACATGGTGTCTAGTGGTAGGGCGGGTTTGGGGTAGAGCATACTCCCTATTGGGGACAAGGAATCCCTAAATTTTTCCTACCTTAAGGCAATTACCTAAAAATGCATCTAATTTGGGGGTATTTTAGAAATAGAATTATGGGAACCTAAGGCTATTTTAGGAATTGGATATGACAATTTGGAAGTATTTTAGAAATAGAATTATAAGATCCTAGGGTTTTAGGAATTTGGGAAAAATTCAAGGATATTTTAGAAATTAATATTAAATGTAAGGGGTATTTTACTAACTTACCATTGAGTTTGAAGTAGGGATGATAATTTTCCCTGTCCTCACTTGGTACCCAACTTCCCTAACCCAATGGGATCAAGGATGAAGATTGCCTTGACGGGGATGAAGATTAGTAGTGATATTTGACCGGAGATGGGAATGAATTCCTTGCCCCATTCCAACTGCAATTATATATAATATTATTTATATTATACCAGAATATATTGAAAACCGTCTCCATCAATGATCAGAGATGGAGGGTCATTTTTATCCCTAGCGGAGGGGTTGGGGCATTCACAACCCGTTTCAATAATCTTCTTTACCCGGTTGAGGAATCGGGTTACGAAGCTTGCTTTCACAGTCAAAAATGAAAGTTGAATGTAGTCAAATGAAAGCATCACAACTTTCCTAATTGCTAACGAAGCTAAAGAATTGTTGGACAACATTAGTTAACTCTAAAATTATGAAGCATGCATTACGAAACTAATGTTGTGTTTGGTTGCAATGCAAATAAAGCTGCAGTGATGCAAAACCATGACAATGCAAATGATTTGTGTAAATTATTACCTATTTTTGTTTTAAATTTTAACATATTTTGTTTGATTGCAGTACCAATGAAGTAAATTAAGTGATGAAGTAGAATAAAGTAAAATCCAAAATAAAATTAAATAAGAATTTACATTTTTTACATTTGCACTCACATGCATTTATACTAGTACAAATAAATTTGCACTGCAACCAAACACTGCCTTATAAAAGAATCCAGGAGATGCATTTACTTGCAAAACACAACTAACAAATTGTGCTTGATGAATCTACCACCTTTAATCTAATATCAAAATTGATACACCACAAAAAAGATGTATGCATGGTTCAAAGTATTGATACAATACGTTCGATATGGGGCATATCGTATCGTATCTTTTGAAGGTGTTTTGGATACCTATTTTTTTTTAATAATAAAAAATATCTTATAAGCTTCCCAAAAAATTGAACTTTGAAAGAAAAACTTAAAAAAAAGTATGTATCAACCGTTTCTAAGTACCATACAATATGATCGAAACTCGTATAGTATCAATACTTTGAACCTTGGATGCATGTAACTCTAATTGAGTGTTAAATATGTAAACTTGCAAAATACAAAACCCAAAAAAAGCAATAATAATAAGGGTTTCTAGCCAATACGAGCACTTTTTCGCTCCTAATATCAATAAAAATAACTTTTTAAATATAATTTATAAAAATAAATAACATTTTTTGATAAAATATCAAATAAGTGCAAGAGATGGGCAAAAAACAATGTTCATTGTCTCCGAGCAGGGCGGTGGAAACAACCCCTAGCTTCCATCTCTGACCTCCATTTTCTCTCTTTCTCTTTGACCCTTCCTCCTCCTCTTCTTCCATCTTTGGTCTTTGATCATGTTTGTCGTCTTTTGACGATGAACATCTTTCAGTAGCGATATTTCCTAAACATTTAACTTACCCCCTATTCTCAATCCTCTACATTGGTCAAATAGAAATCACGGTGACACCCAGAACTTGCGGCTGTCTTCTTCTTGGTTTCAAACAAATCTCTAACCAGGCGATAGTTTCTTCTTGTTGAGCTTCTATTCATAAGTCTCACCATTGTCAATTGAAGAAGGAAACCAAGAACGTCAAATATTCTCATCCCCTGTAGTGAACAAATTCAAGCCGAAATCCACTGCAAGTAGACCCTATTCTCTCCTATGACTCTTTTTTGTTTATTTGATTATTTTTTTATATAGGCTCTTCAATCCCTGCTTGAACAGCATACGTTTGTTCAATCATTAGAGGCAGCAATGAACCACTGCAGAGCTATCCTCTGTAAAAGCCATGGCCAACGATGAGGGCATTTGTTTACAATTCATTATTATTATTATTATTATTATTATTATTATTATTATTATCTTTTTTCTTTTATGTTTAAATGTTTTTTCTTGAAGGAGAGAGGGAGAGAGAGACCGGAGGTGAGGAAGATTTGCCACCATTGTTTGGTGGTTTGGGCGGAGGAAGGAGATGAATAATATCTCCTGTCTTTATTTAATATTTTTTAAAAAAAATTAACATATTTTAAAAATTATTATTGATATTAAGGGGGAAAGTTGCCCTTACGTCCATATATTCCAAATAGAAATAGAACTCAATTAATCAACTACTAATTTTTATTTGGGCAACTACTAATTTTTTGACAATTGTCTATACCCTCCCCTACCGTTAATTCTCTGTAATAATATTTATATGTGACATCAGGTGACCGTACATTTTTCAAAAATTCCTAAACTGCCATTTTGGCACAAAGAACTCAGGGCACCGAGACCTGTGTACCTCTGTCACTGCTTAACTGGCGGCGGTGATTCTCTCATTTCATTCTTTCATTTTCTCGAGTGAGAAGACGATGGATTGAGAGAGTACGTTGCTGTTGTGAGTCGCAGCAACGGGTGTGGAAAACAAAGGTGACGGGAATGAGAGGTATCAGAAAAAAAAGGGAAAAGAAAGAAAGAGAGAAGAAGAGAGCGACAGTAGTGGAAAACAGAGGTGACGGGGGGTAGCAGAGAATCACTGAAACACATTTAGTTCACAAAGGTAGGGACATTCACAGAGATCTGTATTAGCTGTGGGTGAGGAAGCAAATGCGTCCGTTCCTTCACGGTGAAAATGAACCAGTAGTTCGAGGACCTAACTATGAATAATATCATTACAATCGTTATCAGAAAGTGATATTTTAACACCACCGCCCCCTCCGGCAAGGACAAGGGGGCCCGTTTCTCGAATGAATGGATTTACAAGGGCAAAGAGTGCTGCCATGAAGAAAGCATCCAAGGAAATTGGACTCCATCGCCGTTGGCTAGCTAGCTGGATGAGCACTGCAACTACAGGCGCAAAAGCAGAGTTCACTGTTGTTCGAATCATGGAGGCCTCCATCGAGTACTCTGAAGAGAAAATGGTAAACTTGATTCATCTTCCAGGCAGATCTACTTGTTAGTCGGGAACGTCAAGTAGATCTACTTGGATCCCACGCTGGCCATTCCTCCACCATTTGTCATCATTCCCTCCTTGTTTTGTTGATATTTCTACTACTGTTGGTGTTTTGTTTGGGTAACCAGTCAAAGGG